ATCTGACATTAATGTTGCTATTGCTCTGCCAACCTCATGATATCTTCCTGGAGTACTTGGTGGACCAAGCATAATAAACATGAACCTTGTTGGGAGAGGAACTTCAGTCAAGTCTCCAAGAACAAGACTGTTTTCAAGACGAACGAATGCAATCAGAGGCTTTTTGAGAAAGTCTACTTCTCCTACAAGTGCATTGGACGCTTCTGCTCCACTGGGGATCTTCTTCATGAAGTTGTGATCAAACTGAAAGATGTCCCATTAGCATTAAATTGTATCAAATGTGAAGATAATAAAATGAAAAAAGGACTGGGATTCTCAAAAATAATTTGATTTTACTTTTAAAAGATAAAGAACATAGCTGTAGTTAAAAAAATTCAAGTAAGTTTATATATATTGGTAGTAAACAGAATTATAATTTTCTATAAATACAAAGTATTATTATTAGTAATTATTAGCATTGTTTACAAATTCTGATAAGGTGTGAATGCCTATAACTTTGTTGCCATTAAGTTAAAACTTCATAAAATGCTATTCTTTCAAGTGAAGGTGTAATTTTTCTAGAACATTATATTATCAGATACATCCCCCTTTCTGTTTTGCTACTGGCCAATGCAATTACTTGCGGAAGGAAAACAGGATTAAAAAAAAAACAAGTCAAATACTCAGAGTTGAAACATTAATTTAACCTTATTTGAATTTATTTGTAGCGGAGCTCCCGCGCGGGCCACGCGAGCGGAGCACCATAGCTAAGAAAAAATGGTATACCATCGAGTCGATTTTCCATGGACTGACATAGGGTTCCCGCGCGTACACACGTTTCCTTCCGTCTGTCCTGGATTCCGTGTACCACCACAGGAAACCCATACTCCGCTCGAAAAGGAAACAAAGCGCCAAGTATTTGTTGAAAAATCGAAATTTTTTCCTTAAACATTTATATTACATATTGATAATATTAGAACAATTAATAACAAGGAAAAAATCAACTGAAGAGCGAAATAACAGCACAGAAATATTCCCGCCAATTTTGTTATAACTTCGACGCGTCCGCACATCCGGGAAATCGATTTGCGAAGATGAAACGAAGATGAAAAGCAATTTAGGCCCATCTTAAAAGTGATATTAGAAAGAAGGATTTTACTTTGATATTTCGACAACAAAAAGAGATGATACTTTATTGGAAATACTTCAATAATATGGACCAATATGGGAAAAAGCAGGGATCTATGCGAAGAGATGATACTTTATTGGAAATACTTCAATAATATGGACCAATATGGGAAAAAGCAGGATCTATGCAAAGTTCTTTTGTCGAATAAAAGTGTGGACATTTCGAAACCAAAACCATGCTAGCAGTTAGATTGAGAGAGATTAAAACAAAGAATCTACAGTCTTGAATGACTTAATAAATTGATGAAACCTATGCTTGAAACAAGTATGGCTCTGTTGAAGATGACCTTTGAACGATAATTTATCGGAAGTTCGATAATGAAGGTGAAAAAATATATTTTTGCATACAGTTTTCTGTGATATGTGAAGTTCGAGTAGTCCGGGTTCAAACATCGATTATTGAAACAATGTTGATTATTGCAAGGTTATGTAGGCTACTTTTTGCCGAGAAGCTTTCAGTTTAATTATAATTTTAAACTTCATCCAATGGAACAAAATCTACCGAAGTCAATATAATAGTACGAACTAAATTCTCATAAACATACTCTTTATAATATTTGTTCGCATGTCAACAAAACTGTTGTAGCTCACGTTCCCTAGAACAGAGCATCTACCTTTGAAATAGCAGTACTAGATAATCATTTTCAGCTTCTATATTGCTATTGGAGCTCCGCTATTAGATGTTACCTAATTTTTATATTATGAAGGGATTCTGTATTCCAGTTTGATGGAACTCTTTGTTTGTTGGCATGTTGTGGTTTAACAATGATTAAACATATTTATTAACAATATCTATTACTTCTTCGTTTTGAAGACTGTTTGTATTTTGATCCATCCTTTAATCTAAGGGACAGAGCTTTTCATAAACTTGTTCAGTCATTGGCTGATTTGTATCAAGCTCTGCTCCCAAGCCGCAGAAAAAACCTAAATCCCAATGATTTTTTTTTGAACAGTCGTGATGTAACGGCTTCTGGTGTATGACTTACCGTATCTATGAATTCATCTTTGCATTCTTCATCTTCAACAGATTCTGTTTCCTGTCCAACAAGAGACACAGCAGAAGGGATGTAAGGAAATGCCCTCACCGGCTCTGGTTCTTCTTGGAGAGCTGTTAGATTGAACGGTACAGATTTTGATCCTTCTATTACAGGTTTTTTCTTCTCCATTGCCTCTAAGTTTGGAGCAGAAGATTTTCTTGACCCAAAGTTTGCCAGATGCTGGCCAAAACTTTTGGACGTTTTAGGTTTTTTGGTTGCAGATCTCTCAAACTGATGGACATGTCTTTGTAGAAGGACCTCTTTGGTCTTTGCACGATTTTCATGCTCTAATTGGTTTGTGTAGACCAAATCATCCAGGATTAAATCTGCACCAATGAAAAATATCAGTGTGTAGTTTTTACAACATAATAAATTCTGCAAAGGTATTAATTYACATGTACAAAATATTTGATAGTCACAAATCGGCCAAAAGGATTAGTTTTCTGCTGCTACATGTATTTTCACAGACTCACAGTTTTGTGAAATTGTTGACTTGTGCAAACAGTTTTGTTAAGAAGTGGAATAAAAGAAAATGAATATTTTAAATCTATAGTGTGGAGTGTAGCCAAAATATTGAATACAGTATGATTCTTCTCATAAACATTATATTGTATTATCATATTCAAATCACATACCACATATTTGTTCCAAGTTGGAGGCATTTAAATCAAGCAGTACTGTTCCATGCAGTAAACAGCTCCGCAACTCAAAGAGACTGTAAAGAGAGAGCGTGGCAACATGTGGTTTACTCCACCGATTACCAACTTCTTCAACGTCTTCCTCAAACTTCAGCCATCGTGCTGATTCCTTCCAGACTCCATTACCATCGTCATTAACTTGATACTCATCAAGCTCAGCAAAGATTTGATGACCCTCTACCTCAAACTCTTGGCCTCCAAGAATGAATCGTACTCGCTCAGAAGGGAGAGCAGAGACTTGATCAGCTTCTGCCGAAAAGAGAACACAATAAGGCCGATAGGACTCCACAATGCAGTAACAATTTTATTGTAAATTTTATTGCTTCAATGAAATGACCATAATAAATGTTTATGGACCAATTCAGTAACAATTACTTACTGAACAAAATATAAAAAATTTAATTTGCTAATTAAGACTATTCATATCAATGTGTGCATTGCTCACATTTCTACGAATTCAAAAGAATATTTAACATGTTGTTGAGGCCTACTGTAAGAGCAACTAGCCTGTGTACATCCGGTTTATTTTCAAAATTAACCGTCTCCGCAACACTGCACAATATCTAAATTAATGTTCTGGGGCCCCTTGAAACGATTTGCAACCTGATGACGATTGGTTGTTTCAAGGGTGTTCCGGATTGGCCAAAAGTCGTTTATCCGTTGTTTTTAAAATTGYGTGGGAGAAATAAACGGTTTACAAGCTGAAAGCTGATCTCTTATTCTTATATTCTTTGAAAATTTAACACGAGTTTGACTTTGAATTGGAATACAGGTTAAAATAGACAGAACCACAACAGAGCGAATGAAGAATTGCTGTTGAACTTGAGAATGCGTATATATCTTCATCCTAAAAGCTTTCACTGATGAACTTTGCTGTTTCGACATTATATTTCTGATTCTAGTTTGGTCTATACCGTATTTCTTTTATCATATATAAACATCAACCGTACTTGGCAAGACTTGCAAATATAAAATTTCCTCAAGTCACGAACAATAGATAGGCTTTTCAACTCAAAATTTACATTGAATTGCGACTTAATTTCCTTCAATAGATATCGGTCATTTTACTTGTAAATAATGATATGTTTAGAGCATAAACCAAATTATTTCAATGCCAAGAAGACAAAATCGCAGAACGAAGAGGTCAAGTGAGGTGAGAAACGCATCAAACCAATCACATTGTTTTGACAGCTGAGAAGGCCCTGGGACAATGTGTAAAGCCAATCAAAATACATGTAAGAATGAACCAATCAGAGCGTGTACTCAAATCCAGGTACACAGAGAACATGATATCATGCAGTACTGTTTCTCAGACTGTGACTCAGACTGATAAACGCTGGATGAACTCAGGCTAAAGAGCAACTGAAAAGAAGTATTTGTAAAATTTGATGATCTTAAGTGACTGACAAATGCATACTAATGCACCCTTCCCACTTGAGAGTCTTGTTGATACAAGTTAGCTGATGTATAGTTTTTTTGTTTGGAACCGTTCAGCACAAATAACTGCCAGTAATATATCAAAAAACTCTGAAACTCCCTTTGAGTTCGTTTAGAGCGGACTTCGTATGACTGTGCAAAAACCCATGCCGCGACGATGATGTTTTGTTAAATCTTTATTTTTTCATTTGGAATCCTAGGAGGCGAGGTTCCGTGACCGTGCCGTGTCTGTGTTGTGATCCGTGCTGTTGCACAGTCATACGAAGTCCGCTCTATTGATGCGAAGTGTAATCTAACAAGCCTGTATGCTCTTTTCTCAGTGGTAGAGAAATGGGGTTTTCCCAGCTGTATGATTATATTTTTTTGAACCATTGCAATGGCAATAACAAAAAAATCACATGACATTGCTGTAAAACACGTTCAGATGTGATGCTGCTTGTTTTTCTACAGTGAGAAAACACAACAACATGTCTACCTCTAATAACTATCATTGTCCTTATTAATTATGATTTAAACAAAGAAAACTCATTTTACAGGAATATAAGTTTCACCTTTTGCATAAAGTTCATGCACTTTGAAAACAAAAAAATAGAGCAAATAGGTCTTTGAAACTCAACAAAGCGAATAAGCATGTGCACACGCTTATTATCATGGTTTTTCACTGGGAAGCTCATTTGCATGCTAAACATCGACTATGTGATATCGTTTCAAATTAACAATTTTTAACTTAATTCTCTGATCTATACATTGTCTGGTCTGCTTGCCTTGCTCAATAAGACAAAAACAATACAGCATGAAACTTATTGTGAACTTTACTTTGACAACAATTGCAACATAAACGTAATAATAGCACCGAACTTCGAACATTGTATGTGGGATGAAGTCGATGACGTAACGTGATCCGATAATAATGCACGAAGAAAAAAACTTTTCTCGTGGTATCGATCATTATCARCATGTCATTACTTGTATCAAACCCGTTTTGAAATATAGACATATACACAAAAATACCATCACACGGAAAACATCGTTACAAAAGAACTGTTTTGTTTACTGCAAATATCGAGAAATTAATAAATTGTTGATAAAGTAATCAAGGTGTAAACATGATTCATGGTTTACTAGATTAGTGAAGTGACAACAATTCCACAGCTGTAAAAGTTGGAAAGAAAACAAAAAGGAAAGGTAGGCTTACAACTATGAAATAAAGTTTTTCAGACTTATGACAATAAGGAATAAACTAATTTATAGAGCGGAACAGTAGCAAGATTTGACACCTAAGATCACCATTAATACTCTCAAAGCGGAAAATATCGAGGAGGTTATGAATGRAAAAAGAAAAATGCTTTACCTGTWGTTTGTGGCTCACTTTTGTGTTTTCTGCGATGTCCATGCCGGTGGTGATGGCGTCTACTACTCGAACCACGGTCTTTGGTTCTTCTCGACGATCGACTGCTGGCGTTATTCTGTAATGGTAAATGGACACCAACGTAGACTTGTCTGTGATCTGAAACGATTGAAAGCGATTCAAACAATATGAAGGAAAAGCACTTTACTACACAATTAATCAGAATTAAAAACACTTTCGTTCCATGTCAAATACAAACAAGATCTGAAAAATTGTAACTCTGCGTACTTCGATAGTCCAGTTCGTCAAAATAGTGAATCGCACTTTCAGTCAAGGCATTGTCCAAAAGCGTGTTATCTTCACCCTAATACAATAAWAATTCACTCAATATACAATTCTTTCAACCAAATAAAACACAAAACCAGGATAATAAAATTGTTCACCAGACTCAGACGCTTCGGTTCCGCCATATTTGTCGCTTTAAAGTGAAGCCTCGATGTCGTGACACCACGTGAATTTTTCACATAAACCGGAAATGAYCGAAAGTCATAAAATRCAACGTCACTTTCACCTAACTTTGGATCACTTTACAAAGAAAATTCTAGGCATCCTAAGTATCTTTATAAAACAAGTCACACTATCGCTATTTCAAGACATACTATTCATGTAGGAGTGTATATACTTAAAAGTTTAATTTTATTTCACAACTGTTTCATTGGAACATCAACGAAGCTAACACCAACTAGACGATCTGACAGCTTCCTCCACAAGATGTACGTAATTCGAAGATCGAAATGCATTGCTGGTCATTCTATTGATGTTCACAAGTAGTTTTTGTGGTTCCATAGTGACTATACCARCATTGTACAGTCAATAATGACTTCAATGAAAAGCAAATACGTTTATTTAGAACATTAAACATGAAAAAAATCATTATATTTCACTTTCAAATATTAAGACAATTTTTAACATGTGTCTTTGATGTAATTTTGTTTCAATTAACAAACTTTATGGAATGAAAACCAGCATTAAAAAAAAAGTTTCAATGAAGCTCATTTAATTGTCGTAATGTGTCTTTTTAATATTTATAAAATTTTGTTCTTTTGGCAAATAAAACCGGATGTAATGCAGGCTAAATGTACTATAAGCGAAAAAAATCTTACGGTCGACCTTGAGTGCAGTTTGGAATTAATAGTCACAAGAAATGTTTTGAAAGTTTGTCGTATTTGCAATCAAGAATTCCTACTCGAATTGTCATTTTATGTAAAGTGAAGTCTAAAAGTGAAGTGAAGTCTAAAAGCAATCGATTTAATATACAGATATCTGTTTCTCACACAAAATAACAAAGTGAGCTGTTCCAGAGTTCTCACACAAGATTCATAGTCATAAGTCCAATCATTGTTTTATGAGTTTACACATTAGTTACTTGGGATTTAAATGATTTCTTTCTACATTCTAAGATAAGCTGACAAGACAATGAGATTACAAGACRAAATTATTGTTTATCCATCGTTATAGGCTTGAATTGCTTCATTTTGTTCATAAAGACTCGTAAATACTCCTTCTTTTGCCACAAACTAAACTCTTATACAATCCTCTCATGCTGGACGAAGCACGAGGGTCTGGATTGGTTTATATTGACATCCCCATGGAAACACTGTCGTCAACAGAGTCACTATTCCCCAGACTTCCTCGATGCCAATTTGAAGCGGACTATACATAACGAAAGCTCATTTTAAGACATGGTCTTCACACAGGAAGCCAATGTAATAACATAAATGCATCATTATATATCATTGGACCAAGATGACTATTGTATCTTAAGTTTGGGGTTGGGGATCTTTTAGGATGTCTTGGGCAGAAAGTGCATCAGAAAATGTCTCTACAGCRATTAAAACTGCTCAAAATGTTTGTTTTGTTCATTCATAAGGTATGGCATTTTAAAAAACCTCACATTGTCTGATGTTAAAATCTCATGTTGCAATGTTATCCTTTTTTGAAAACAATACATTACACTTARGGTTTTTTACAAGAGATAGGGGGCCTATAGTTAGTAGAGCCCAACTCTGTTGTAAATCGTAGTTTTAAATCCAATAGTTGTAAAAAAGTTGCGGTCATGCAAAAATAGAGTGCATTCGACATTAGTGTGAAACAATTCTTAACTTAATAATATAAGATAATRATAAGATTTAGTTATCAACTAAGAATTCAGCGAGGTGTAAACAAAGACAATTTCCTTTTTGKCATTCTGTTTATGCCACAGTGAATTCTTAGTTAGTTGATAACTAAATCTTATTAGTTGTTGRTTGTTAAGAATTGTTTCACGCTTTTTAGGTGTGCACTCGATAAAACGTCCTTAATAAACAGAGATATTAAAATACAAAATAGGACAGAAGACTCTATTATGGGCATTTAAACTGTGACCCTGACACTTTATAGTTCTTATCAAAAAAACTAAAAAAAAAAAAAATAAAATAAAATAAAATCCAAGTTAAAGTGGTATGCAAATTGAGACATTCAAATCTCTTGCTCATACACCTACAGTATTTCAAAAAATGATTTTGGGGAAAACAGCGAGTGGCAATTGTTGAAGGAAGATTGCACGACTGAAAGGAACTATGGTTAGACTGTTTTGACAAACAAAATTGCACTTACTTGCATAGAAATGGAGCCACAGACTATTTTACAGTATAAATCACTTGTTATTTCTATCAATAGTAAAACCCATGGCTGCTTTCAGTCGTCCAATCACCTTTCGGCAATTGACATATGCCATTTTATCAGCTGACAGCCTTTTTTGAAATAGGAATATATATAAAATTCTGTTGTGGCAATAATTTCTATTGTGTTTACCTAATGAATTATTAATAATCTGATGTTTTTATATGGTGTATAATATAATTCATATGACATTTGTAGTACTTTTTGGAAATAAATTCGTATTTGACAACAGGCAACAGTCCAACTGTCAGGTACAAGTTGTCAGGCCCATGTTGCTCTTTATGCAAACTACTGACACAACAACATACCATCTATATCTTGAATGTTTAACTTGCCAGACACAATCAAGTAATATAATAATGGAGGGGTTCATTGATTGATTGATCACGAAAACTTCTCTCATTAATTTGTGTTTCACAAAATAAGAAGATTCTAGCCAAGCCAAAATAGGCTGCCACAGAGCCTCACAACAAAAATGAGGTCAAAACTATTACAAATCACTGACGTTTAACTAATACTGTTTYGAGAGATAAATTGGTGACAGCTGCTATTATATCAAGTATGGCGAAAAAACTTGCATTTGATTCATTCGATAAATTAAAGAAATATTTTAC